ACGACAAGGTTAAAACCTGCTACCTGCTTCTTTATTATGTATAATGGAGTAGTACCCAGAGACACCCAACAAGGATGGATTGTGCTCATCGCTGAGCTGTGCAGCTGGTGAACTGGCAGTCCTTGCCCCAGACAGTGAGCAGCTGAAGAGTGAGACAGGAGATGACAGGTAGCTTAGACAAAGCAACGTGTGAAACATGAGGTAAGAGTGAGCTGGTTATGTGAAGTACAATAGAGGCAGTTATGGTATACCAGCTGTGTGGCACTGCAGGGCCCTTTCTAAGCCACGTGGGACAGAAGTCCCAGCTGTGGAGAAAACCTTGGCTTTAGGTATAAGGGGGAAAGAGATTAAGGCTGGAGTTGAAATGGGGACACAAGTGTGGACTGAGACCTGTCCATGGGCTTGCATTGGTCTCCTGTCCACAGAAGTCCATAGGCTTAGGGACTTAGGGACTTAGGGCAAGCTTTAAGGGAGACATGGAGGAAAGAGGATGGGGAAAATTTGGGTCCACACTACTGGGCAACCTATCTAGACTGAGGATGAGTAAGGCAGGGCACACAATGTAGCTGCTGAGTCCTCTGTTGCATATCCCACCTGTCTTGCGGCCATAAGCTGACAAAACAGCCAGGAGATGGCTGGGAATGAACCGGTCTCTCTTGCTGCAAGGCACAAGAGAAGCTGAAAACATCCAATCCTGCTACAGCCTGGATGCCCTGGGAGGATGCTGAGCTCCAGCCTGATCTGGAGGCATTTGCTTCTGAGGACACTACAGATGTACCGTAAAGCTTCTCCATCTCTGTCCTGCTGGCAGTGGTTATGAGAATTTGGTGCAGCACGTGGAGGCTGGAGGACCAAGAGTCTGGCAGTGCCTATTCACACCTCCACCCTAGCTCACAGGAGGTGGGAAAACCGTAGAAAAACTCAGCAGAATGAGGAAGTGCCATGTCTTGTGCATGCTGCTTGGAAGAATTAGCACAAAGCAAACTAGTTGGGGAGTATGGGGCTGTAAAAGGCTCAGCAGAGGAGTCATACAAGTAGGGAACATGGATAGTAGAGCTCACTCAGCATGAATACATGGGAGCTCCTAGTATTTATACGGCTTCACAGTTTCCACAATAACACAATGGAGAAATACGAGCAGCCTGCTGCAATACACACACACCACATCCAATGAGAGCTGCAATGAGACATGGATCAGACAAGAATGGGGAGGAGGACTTCTCCAGGAGAAACAACCCTTCTCATCCTGCATGCAACACCCTTCCCAGAAGATCTGCACCAACACAACCTTGCTAAGGATGATGTTCAGCCGCTCAGATTCACAGTCCACAACCACCAGCCTTTCCTTCTTCTTCTCCAGCTCCTGGAAGAGCATGCGGTAGCCCTCTTCTGTTGTCGTCAGGATGTTGACAGCTGTCACCTGCCAGTTCTTCTCGGCTGCGGTGTCCAGCACTTTCTGTAGGACTGATAACCCTGTGAGAGGGGGAAGAGGACAGTAGGGGGAGAACCAGGTTTTAGTTGTGCAATGGCAACTTTCCATCATTCTGACAGCCTGTGTAGCTGCCTCTATGCAAGCTGGGCTGGATACAGCATTGCAAGAGCACAGCAGAACTACAGAGAGCAGCTAACAGTCTAGCGCCTTATCCAAACACAGCTGGGCTAGAATTAATGACTCCTGCTTTTTCTGTCCTAGCACAAGAAAATAGGATGATTCCAGGCCTAGTTTTCCTTTGTAATTGGCAGATCAGTCTTGTTGATCAGGCCCTGCTGTGGGATTCAGATAAGAGCTCTAATCCCTGTCTTCTTGTATGTCACTACCCAAATCACTTGATTTCTTTGGGCCATAGTTCCCTTCTCATCTTTGATCTGTTTAGGCTCTACACTCCTAGGGTTAGGGACACCCTCAGCAATCACAATACACAAACATATTCAGCATTCCTGTCTCTCTTGGCAGCATCTCATCAGAAAGCTTCATTATTTTTAAAAGGATCTTGCCTAAATTACATGCACAGCCTTCCAGAGGAGATACATGTGGTCAGCACCACTCCAGAGTCTTGCTAGAGAACTTGCTTACTGCAGTCCTTTTGGGATATTCAGCATGCCCATGCCTCGTGACAACAGAAAGCAGGGTGGGATGCTTTTATACCTTCTCCTTGTCTCCTAAGGTCATCCTGTCCCTGAAAGCTAATGATATCTTCCAGGACAGAGCTGTGAATCACCCTTACATCTGCACTGTCCTCCACAAGTCCATTTTGCTCTCAGCCTCCAATCCTGGAGCTTTAAAGGTGTCTGAGAGCTGGGGAAACTGAATCACAGAGCAATGAACTCACTAGCCCTGTTCATGGTTTAGAAAATTAGATAATATCTTCCAAGAACCCAACAAAGGCTTTTGTTATTTTACGTAGACAACTAACACTCACTAACACAGGAAACTTAGAGCTTTCCAAGCTACCTGCCAGAAATGCACACAGGTGTCACAACTGGATGTGGGCTCAGGTGAGACCTGAGCAGCTGTTGGTTCACATTTATAAATGTGGGACTCAGTGGTCTTGATTTTGACAGACCTATTCAGTATGGGACCTATTCAATATAAACAATTTTCCCATTTGAAACTCAAACCGCTTACACATTAAATATTTCCCTTGTGTTGATGGGGTTCAGACCTGACCCTATGAATACAGACATACTGGGTCAGGCTAATGCTTCATCTAGATCAATGCCCACCTTCAGCAGTAATGAATATGTAGAAAAGGAATAGAGAACAGGGAAGGCATAGGGTGGCCCTTACTTTAGCCACCCTCTCAGCCTCCAGTGACGCACAGTAAGAGGATTTCTTGAGGCATAGACTCCACCTAGACCACTGTGTTCAATTGCCTGGTAACCCTTCCCATGTACTTGTGACTTACCCCGGTCAGCATCATAAATATATACAAACTTCTGCCAGTTGTAGTGCTCGATGACACTGATGAGGGCATCCTGGAGCTCTGGGCGAAGCTGGAGAACAAACTGGTTGGATGTTTCAACGGGGAAGCTTGGCGTTATGAAGCAGACATGGAGAGCCCCACAGAAAGACGTGAGCATGTTAACGGTCCTCCTCTCGTAAAATCCAAAGATGGCGTAGACGCCCTTGGAGAACTGCGAGCAGACTGGAGGAGTAGAGAGAAAGATCGTGAGGGCAGAAGGACGAGGAGGTTTCTCAGGGAAGTCACCAAAATAAACCTTTTCCCTGAGACAAGCTCTCTGGACTAGATCACTTTCCTCAAGGCCTGTGGGTTGGTGAACGAAACCTGTGAAGAACAGGGCTTGTGGCCGTGGGGTGCTCTGCCTTTGATCTCCACAGACCTGCTTTACCTTTGATAGGCAGAAGGGACACAGGAGAGTGTATTCAGTATCCTCAGGGTTCTGCTGAAGATTTTGCTGCTTCTGGGATAAAACATGTTATCTGAACAAGGGAACCCCTCAGCAGAAAAGCACAGTGGCTCACCAAGCCCTGCCTCCTTGGGATGGCAGCTGTCTGGCCCCTGGAGCTGTTTTACTATGGGGGAGAAAGGCTGCATCTAGAGTTTGCTATTGCAGCCCCAGATGCATTCAAGGAGCAGAAGGAAGGCATTTGCATGACAGCACAGCCCTTTGCAGCCAACAACTCCAGGAGGAAACCATGGGTTTGACCTCAGAAGCTGAGATCACGCTGAGAGGGAATCCCAGAAAAGCTTCACCTAGGTTCAATACACTCACAGCACAGCTACAGGGTGGTTTGTCTCTGGGCATGAGTTGCCGGCACTGGGGTCAGAGCCTCTCACACCAGGGGTACGTTCGTACTTGGGGACATGTGCGTGGCAATTTCTAGTTTCCTCACAAAGCTATGGTGGGGAAGGCTGTGGGCGCAGTGAGGTAGTGGTGGTGGCCTGGGAGGTCTTCATGACTAAGCTCTGAGGGTGCACGCTGAGTTCTCTGGCAGATATTTGTGTCTGATCCCAGAAGCTGGCACTGTGCTGCACAGGGAGGGCTCTGTTGGGTTGGAGGCCTTCTCAGGAGACCACTTAATGAGATCGTGGGAGCTGCTGGAAAAATGCCTCAGGATCTCGGTGAGGCAGAGAGAGTTCACACTTTGGGTTGTAAAACTTAGCCCCTGAGACAGTCAGACTCGTTTAATATCACTCCTGTTTATGGCGCATCCCAGGTTTTAGTCAATAAGTCTCCAGGATGGAGGTGGTGGCAGAGACAGCGTTTTCCCTGTGTCAGAACTCCTGGCACTAGTGTCTCCTCCCCTTGCCACTCCGACACTGAAGACCTTTGGCTGTGACATTTACACTGACTCAACACTTCACACATCACTTGCCAGCCCCCCCCAACAGAGTGTAGGGTGAGAAGTTGGATGTGACATTTTGGGGTCCCCTGGCAAGTGCTCTGCACTGCTTGGGAATCCCTTGACCTGGTTTCTGCTGGTAGCCGCCAGCGCTGAACCTTCTGCACTTGTAGCTGGAGACAGGCTCCTAAACATGAGCTTCCTTCATCCTTAGCTGGGCTCCATCCAAGCTCTGTCCCTCCAGCGGGGACCAGAAGTCATCCCTGACTGGCTTACAGCTGTCCTGGATAAGATTACCCCGTTCCTCACTTCTCTACTGCCAGCATCAAATATTCAGAGGGAAGAGCAAGAAATCCTGCTTCCCACTGTGCAAAGCAAATCCCCACTCCCATCTCACCACCAAAATGAAGCAGCCAGGTTTTTGAATCAGTGCAGAGTGTTGAGAGCTGAGAACTGAATCTCATGACACTGGTGAGAATTTTTCCTTCCTCTGGGAGTTGAGCTCAGGTTTTGGACATCCCAGCCCAGCAGTTCGTCCCCAGGGTCACCCATCCTCTTTTTGCCACTCAGTGTCTTCTCACATGCCTCAGCACCCTCCTCCCCCAAGGGGATTTGTATTTCTGTGGGGCAGGGACTTCTCGTGAAGCCTGAACCATGATGGAAACAAAACTCTCTTCTCTTTATTTTCATGGCAGTCTCTCTCTTTGCAATCAGCAATTGTGTCTGTATCAGCTGGAGTCACTGGCCTCATCATGAGACTGACACATTCAGGAAGAAAAGTAACAGACACAGATAGAAATAGTCTGAACACCATTTCCATGTGACTGGACCAGTGGGTCTAATGAACACTGCGATATACCATATGTGAGAGATCAGAACATGATCTCTGGAGACCCAGGCTTCAGACTCACTGAGTGATTAAAGTGACATTCTCGGGGCAGCTGAAAAATCCAGCACAATTAATAATCCAGACAATAAATTTAGCTGGCTTGTTTTGTTTTGTTTTGTTTTAGGTAAGCCATGGCTTCCTTGTATTTTATTTTCTATTTGAAATTAATCTATTATTTTTTAGATTTTTTTTTTAAACTCTTTGGCTCAGTCATGCTCAGGCAACCCTCCTACACTGTTCTGAGACATTCATCAATCCCAGCGTTTGAAACAGATTGCACCAAAGATGACTGGGAGAACTAACAGTCTTTATCTTTAGTAAGTTTGGAAGGAACCTTAGCTCACTTTGTACTTTCAGACTAAGAGGGGTCATGGACAAGGCAGATAATTTGGAAAAATAAAAGACTTGCTGAGGGTTATCACCCAAAGAACAACAAAGAAACTGTTGTGTCAATTAATCTGGAAAAATGAAAAGAGTGAGAACTGCCGCCACCTTTCTGGGACTGAACTTGGCATGATGTAAAAGTGGTGACTGCAAAATTATTTAAATCTTGGGACTATTTTAAATTACAGATGTTCCAAATTAATTTACCCGGCATGACTAAAAAGGAGCTACTTGCCATTTATTTAATACACTAAGAGTTAGTTGGAATTTCTTTATATTTGCTTTAATTGTTTTATTAAGCAAATTTATTAACAATTGTGTTCTCATTTGATTGCTCTGCAACTTCCTAATAACATGCTATTAAGAATTGTAAACCTTAACTAGAGGAAGCAAATATTTTAAACTCTTTGTTTTTCTAGTGGGGAGGAAGCTTGACAGTTCCTTAGCAGTCACTAGCCTCTGACTGATGCTTTTCTTAAAGATTGAGAAACATAAAAGGGATAAAGATCATGCTGGAATGGAAGGTCCAAGAAGTTGAGCTCTTCTGGTCAACTGGCTGGTGATCACATCACACTTCGCAAGCCTTGTGCCAACTACCTGTTCACAGCTAGATGGCTACAGCCTGGCTTTTCCTACAGAATAGAGTTGCAGTCAATCTGGTAATTGGCTCTAGCAGTTGAATTTGGACAGTTCAGCCTCCAAAGCTCATTCCTGCAGGCAGGAAACTGAGTGAAATGCAACAGCATAAATATCTGCATATCCAAGGATGTGAGCATGAGTGATGAGTGGAGTGCTCACGTGGATGTAAATGCAGACATTTGTGATAGTTTGCATGTGCTACTCTTGGCCTCTGGGCTGCACAAAGGGAAAGAAGGACAGAGAACATCTATTCTGGGCTGGACCTATGCTATTATCTTACAGTGAACTTGTAATTAATTATAGAAAAGTTTTCCTCTAAACAAGCCCTCAGAAAATATAGTTCATAATGATTGATAACCATAGCAACTACTACCATATTCTCCCTGATCAGTCTTGTATAATTGATCAGGTTGGGACCTCTGGCTGGGACATTCCCAGTGTGTGCTGCACCAAGCACCATGGATGTCCCATATCCCTCCTTCTCCAGGCACAGGATCTCTCACTGAGGCTCCCTAGTGCCATTCCACAAATAAAATTAGGTAAAAGCAGAGGCATTAACTTGATTGTCACCTGGTTACACTGAAAAGACAACCCAGAGACAACCGTCTGTTCTTTGGACACAACTCCGCAGTGCCTGTTGCAGCCAGTTGAGGTGACAGCTCCTCAGACTGTTCTAAAAACACTTCTAACTTATAGTAAAAAATCAAAATAACTTTGTAAGTTAGTTAAAAAGTGACTGATGTAGTAGAGCAAGCAGGAGGAGGCCTCCCCTCTCCCTCTGTGGAAAGGTAGCCGTTGTGGAGCTGGTGTGTCCTTGAATTCAGACGAGGAAAAAACACGCGTGCTTCACTCATGCTTGAAATCCCCAGACTCTAGGATTTCTAGTCCTGCAATTTAACTCAAGTTTCTCTTTTCATATGGAAATATTCAAGGTGAAGCATTTAAATCGGAGAGAGGAAACACTGATTTTATTGAAAACACACGCAGGATAGGACATCTACTTGGCAGCTGAAGAGAGGCAGCTCTGGCCACCTTTGCAAATGCTTCTAAGAAAAAGAAAAATACATGCCCACAACTTTAAATTGCACATTTTCTCTGCAGAAGAGGAAAAGCAAAAGAGATGTTTTGAGTTTTTAAAAATTTCTGGGAGACTATTTTTTGCTAAAGCTCTCAACCAGACATGAGAGAGTAGATGCATAAGACTGATTTCTGCACTTAGGAGGGCCAGAGATATTTTGGAACTGGAGGTTTGATCTGATCCATGTGAAAGGCAGATATCAGATATAACAAGTATCTCATTTGGATTTTGGTAAAAGCAGAAGGGAAACCAAAAAGTTTCTCTCAGAAATGTTCATCACAAAGCGGGGCTGAAACAATCTTGGCATTTGAGGGAAGAGGAAGGGCAAATGGGCTGCGTGGAAGGATGGGAATGAGGATCTGGTCTCCAGGAGTGACAATGGTGCAATTCTGTTGAGAATCTGCAAACAGGACTGCAAAAAGGGAAATGCTCCCCACAGACACAGCTGGAGAAGAAGCCTGGTAGGAGATCCTGGCAACTGCTCATCTGCCATTTCCTTTAGAAGCAGAATTTTCACCATTTCACTGAGTTTAAGACTAGAAGGGGACATGAGATAATTTCTACTGACTTTTTGTATCTCATGGACCATTAAGTTTCACCCAGCTACCCCTGGAGGGAGCCTATAATATGGTTGAGTTGACTCTGGGGAGACTCAACTGCTGAGTGCCTCTGCCAGAGAACAGAAGTAACAGAGACAGTGTTAATACCCAAAGCCACAAGAGCAGTAAAAAAACTGATTAAACGAAATATCCCCAGATGTTTCCTACAAACAACTCATGTTCTCTGTTGCAGAAGGAGAAAAAAAGCCCAGATGGTCCCTGCCAGATCTCAGAGCCCTTCATGTCCCTGG